CGACGATCAATTGCTTTGATTGTTGCATTCAGGTGATAGATGAATTAAATTGATTGTTGATAATTTTTATTCGTCGCTGCGGTCGAACGGATTATTACCGTACTATGACCAACGCCATACATATATGCAGTAATGTAGTTACACAAAAATACGCGCGACGTCAGCGTCGAATAAAAATTATCAACAATCAATTTAATTCATGTATTACTGAAATTCAACAAACAAAATAATGCAGCGCATTTTAAAGGAATATTAATAAAAAGTAAAACGGTGTGGCACGCCATTTTACTTACTATTTTTTTGCTAGTGTCGTTTCAGTTTGAATACACTCAGTTTTACCTATATAACCCTCAAACTTGTTGAAATTTGGTACTATAAAATCCAGTAACTAGTCCACTAGTCCACAAATTATATAGTTCTACTATATTTCGAAATTTCGAAAGACTACTTTATATTTCAAGTTGATTCAAATCAAACGTATTAACGCATGAATGAATCTCATTCCAATTTCAGAGAGGAACTGAAATACCTCACTCCAGTGTACTACCTCAAATGTTTTATGCTCATCGTATCTTCTCTCGCATCGAATCTGGCATTTTATCTCCTTCTGATGACTTACATTTGGACTGGACACCTGGCAAACGCAGAGATAATTTCTTTCATCCAAGCTAACTTTCAAAGTCTGAGGTCCTACATTATTGTTTCTATTCCGTACGGTCTTGCTCAAGGTTCTGAAGTGATAGCATCACTGAAGAGGTTGAACGAATTTTTAGATGCAGAAGAAACAGATGAAAAGGAAATCACTGGAGGTACTCCAGAAGTGTATCTGAATCATGTTTCCGTGAAAATCAACGGTGCTACAATCCTCGAAGATGTCTCTATGGCAGTTGAAAATGGGTTGTTTCTAGTCACGGGTAGCGTTGGTTGTGGTAAAACATCATTGCTGAAGAGTATCCTGCAGGAAAATGCTGTTGAAAGTGGCGAAATGTACGTGAGAGGGAGTATATCATATGCTCCACAAGATCCTTGGCTTTTTCCTTCAACAATCAAGCAGAACATCCTCTTTGGACAGGAATATAACGAAGAACGATACAGGGAAGTTCTGAGAGTCTGCGCACTGAGAAAAGATCTAGCCAGTTTTGAAAATGGCGACCAAACGATCGTGGGTGATAACGGTGTCAATTTGAGTAAAGGACAACAGTCCAGAATCAGCCTGGCAAGGGCTATTTACAGAAACAGCGACATCTATTTACTTGATGACTGTCTTGCAGCTCTTGATAACCGTGTGAATCTATTCGTTTTCAAAAACTGTATCATGGAGTTTTTGAAAGNTTTTATCAGGGATTTCAAATCATTTTATAAAATATCAGATAATGGAAGTTCAACCTGATGAACGTATTTTCCATTATTGAAGTCAGTTTGTTTCCTGAATCATAATTCTGGATTTTTTCATTCAAATTCCTCAATGAATTCATTTTGTACGAAACAAATAAGTTTCGAATTGAACTTTATGGAAAAACATATCTTTCAGATTTTTTTTATTTTGGCTTCAAAATCAACCTTTTGAGCAACTCTTATCGAAACAAAAATTTTAGAATCGTTCCTCGTAGTTATATAGTCATATATCATATTCGTGTCATCATCCCATCGCTTCAGAAATTTTTATTCTGCTTCATATTTCAGGGTTAAAACTGAGCCAAAGATATCGTCACTAATACAGTCTAATTCAACGAATTCTTCAGATTACTTTCAAACAGTCGAACAGCGCCAGGATTATTTGAAGTTGTATTGTTTTTCCATCATAGGAATGTCAGTTCTTACGTTCCTCAGATTTTATATAATCATAAAATCTTCTTTAAAAGCCTCAAAGAACCTCCACAAAACAATGACTCACTCTGTTGTTAACTCAGTCATGACTTTTTTTGACAACCATTATTTAGGAAATATCATCAATCGATTTTCAAAGGACCTGAATACTACAGACGAAATGCTCCCAGTGAACATATATGAGGTCCTCAGGGTAAGTTTGAGTGATAATTGGTAAAAGACTTCTCGAAGTAGAATAATAAGTTCTAGAAAGAATTGATGGAAGTGATTTATTTAGGGTGAGATAGTCACGTATCAGTATCGAAAAAAGGAAAATGTTGGAAAAACTTAAAATTAATTTTTTTCAGTATGAACGCATTTTGAAGAAGAATCTGTCTTTTGTCTATATAGCTTTGACATACGTTCTGTTTTGATCGACTATTGGACTTTTCTAAGGATATTTTGTCCTTTGATGATTTTTGATAGGGCGCTCTGTTCCGAAGATACGGAGCGAAAAAAATTTCGACAATAACAATTTTGGTAATTTTAAAATTATTAACGTAGCCGAAATTGAAGTATAGCGTACCACACTGGAACTACCAAATAATGATAAATCTAACAATTCCGTTGGTACCTATCAACAACATTCCGATCACTAAAAACGGCTGCAGACATTCAATTTGCTGGCTTTAACGCAATCAGAAACGATCCTGGTGTTTTTGAAAGAGTTCGGGAGTCGATGAGGAGCAGATTGGATTTTCGCATCCAAGCGGGGGTAGTCATTTTCAACAGTTTTTGTAGATTAAGAAATGTCACATTTAATTTTTGGTAATGAATTGTTATTGTCGAAATTATTTTTCGCTTCGTATCTTCGACACAAAACGCCCTATCAAAAATCATCAAAGGGCAAAATATCCTAAGAATAGTCCAAGGTATAGTCCCTTACATTTTTGCCGCGTGTTCAATGAACACCCTGTATATCTTTCCAGGAGGGTTGGTACAACTGATCTGAACTTTCCAATCTCATCGGTCCTGCACATGGATTCAGTAATAGTGACACAACTTCTTTCACCATCGAATCATAGAAAATCAAATTAGGATTTCCAATCGAAACAAATATACCTTCCAAAGTCAATATAGATCAACACACAGCTACGGAGCTAGGAACGTTTAAAGTTCATTTCTTTAAATAAAATATTTCACAATAAACACACAACATACTGAAAAAAAAATTAATGCAGTCAGATGTGAAATAGGAATGAGAAATAGGAAAAAATTGCAAACTATGGAATTCCAATAATTAAGTTTTTTTTTTTTTCAATCGATATTTAGATTTTCTAATGGAATAGTNCTATATTTGAAATTTTTTCTACAAGAAGTCGACTAATTCTCATGAAGCAAACTGTTGGAAAATGTTCAAAAAGATTTCAATGTATGTTTCAGGGGGGCTTTTTATCTAGTTTGTGTCTGAAAGTTACTTCTTTGCATAATCTACACATCTTCTTTCAAAATTGATTACTTCCTTTCTTTGGAAGATAACTACAATTTGTTTGTATCAAGGTGGAGCAGTAGGGAGCCAAAAACTTTCGTTCCCAAAAATTAGTCATGCCTAAAAGAATATAACCCTTTCAATTTAATCAAGATTCTGTTTGGCTGGGATTCAATCAAATAGGTGAATGAGTGTCATTACGATGTCATCGATGACATAGCTATATCAAACTTATTCCGTGACATGAAAAATCGTAATTTATGAATGAATTGTGTGTTTCTTCGTATAATGTTATCCAGATTCGTACTGAAGAGCCCCGAGGCAAGTGTCTTACGGCGAAACATCGATGTCTACCAGTGAGGATGACACTGTAAGTGAAATTTTTACCTTTTATTCAGTATACAGCGTGTCTCACTTCTCATGAAAACACCCCCGTATCTCCCATAATATTCGAGGTAAAACAATGAAACTTTCAGAACTAATGGAAATGCTCAAAATGCACCACCATCTGAATGGGGTTGGCCAAAGTGATATACACTGTCCGCCACTCGCGATGGAACACCCCAGTTTTACGGTAAAACATATTAGGGCCAAAATAGGCTCAACATTCCTTCAGATTCGTGATCAAGACTACCAACTTACTACGACTACACTTTTTTCCTGAAAAAATTTCAGTCCTGAAATATCCGAATTTGTCTCACTTCTTATGGAATCACCCCCGTATCTTCCGTAATATTCGAGGTGGAACGATGAAACTCTCAGGACTGATGGAAATGCTCAAAATGCACCTACCACCTGAATGGGGTTGGCCAAAGTGATATACACTGTCCGCCACTCGCGATGGAAC